GAGGAGGAGGAGGAGGAGGAGGAGGAGGAGGAGGAGGAGAAAGTTTTGTTTTTCTGGGTCTAAAAAGGGATTCTTCTCAAAAGAGACTCTTATGCAGATATTAAACTCACAGACTGGTTTGAAACAAGATAGATAGTCCTTTGGAAAAAAAACCACTAATCCATTTAGGATTTAGAAGATTAAAATGAGTCTCTTGAATTAATCCTGTCTAGAGCAAGTCTAGAATATCTTTTGGGATTAACAAATTTTATTGAGAGGTGTTGGCTTATCTCTTAATACAACCTGTCAGTCTGTAAATGTACTAATGAACTCCGATTTTTGGCACTGTGTAGACCAATGCAGCTCTCCTATTATAGTGCATCAGCCCTACAAACCAGCTGGAAACAGCTGCAGATCTCCCCAAATCTATGTGATAGGATTCAACTATTAACCACTTAAACACTGTAACAGCCTCATTTGGTAATAAATTCCTCTTTCTCCTCCTCCTCCTCCTCTTCCCCCTCCTCCTCCTCTCTTACTCCTCCTCCTCTCTTCCTCCTCTTCTTCCCCTCTTCCTCCTCCTCTTCCTCTCCTCTTCCTCCTCTCCTTCTCTTCTTCTTCCTTCTCCTCCCCTTATTCTCCTCCTCCTGTTCTTCCTCCTCCCACCACTCCTCCCCCTCCCCCTCCTCCTTTCTCTCTCTCTTTCTTCTTCTTCTCCTCCCCTCCTCTTCTCCTCCTCCTCCTTCTTCTCCTTCTTCTCCTGCTCCTTCTCCTCTTCCTCTCCTCCCCTCTTCCTTCTCCTCCCCTCTTCCTCCTCCTCCCCTCTTCCTCCTCCTCATCCCCTCTTGTGTTTATTTAATTTGTATTCTTCTTCTTCTCCTCCTCCCCTCCTCCTCTTCTTCTCCTCCTCCTCCTTCTTCTCCTTCTTCTCCTGCTCCTTCTCCTCCTCCTCTCCTCCTCCTTGTCCTCCTCTCTTCCTCTTCCTCCTCTTCTTCTTCCTCCTCCTCTCCCTTATTCTCCTCCTCCTGTTCTTCCTCCTCCCACCCCTCCCCTCCCCCCTTTCTCCCTCTCCTTTTTCTTCTTCTCCTCCCCTCCTCCTCTTCTTCTCCTCCTCCTCCTCCTGCTCCTTCTCCTCCTGCTCCTCCTCACTTCCTTCTTTCCTTCCTTCCTTTCTTCTGCTTCTCCTCCTCCCCCTTGTTCTCCCTCTCCCATCTTAAGCACATGACTGCAATCTAGTTGCGTGATCATCAAAGCAGAGATGATTGTGCAAACCTGATGATATTAGCTAGTTTGGGTAATTAAAAGTCTCCATGAAAACACCAAGGACAGTCATATGCATTTTCTTGATAAATACACTGTGATTCCATCTAGCCATTTCTGGCTTCCTTTATTCATCCAATCTTATCTGATTCCTCTGTGCTTCTTCTTCTTTTTTTTTAAAAAAAATATCTTATATTTATAAATGAACAGTGTTCTTTTGGCGACGAAACCAAATGCCATTTGGTTGGCAAAAGGCAGTGGCAGAACCGAATGCAGGACTCTTGCAACTTGGATCTAAAATCCGATTTATCAGATTTATAACCAACCTTCCAAATCTTCCCAGCAGGACATCTGCTTGTCGAGATCCAAATATGGAACGATGCTTCAGGATTGCAATTTTTTTCCCTGCCAAGCAAGTTCCATTTGGAATCTCAACCGAGGAGGCGCGATGGATCTGAAGAAGGTTGCCATGGTTCTTTTGGATGGATTCATACTTCACTCATGACAGTTCTGGCTGTCCAAATTCTTCTTCTTCTTCTTTTTTGATGCTATACCAAGCTGAGCTCACAGTTTAATCTGGAGCAGAGCTCTCTGAAGGAGACATCACTTTGACCTGCATATGAAACCAAAAACACAGGTGATGGCCCCAAAAATCAAGTGAATCAAGTCAAGAACTGTAAGGATGAAAGGAAAGAGAGAGAGAAAGAGAGAGAGAGAGAGAGAGAGAGAGAGAGAGAGAGNTAATAATAATGATAGAGGAGGAAGAGAAGGGGAAGAAGAAAAAGGAGAAGGAGAAGAAGAAGAAGAAGGCCAGCATTTATAGGCAAAACCGCTCTGCTTCGCCAGAACGAAAACCACACACCAACACAACAGCAGCAGAGGGCAAAGCCACACCAAAATCGCCCCCCACCCCCCACCCCAAACCAACCACGCGCCCAAACCCAAAGGCCACCAGGCCAAGCCAGAGCCGAACTGCATTCACAAAACTTGTAAAACTTTCAAATGGGAGGTGGGGAAGAATGGTGGGGGGAAGGCATCCAGCTTTTCACCGGGACCAAAACATTCCGGTGCTTCGGAAAGGTCAAATGTTCGGCTTCGGTTGTATGCCAAAGACCAGGCGTGCGCCGAATTGTGCATGGAGGAATTTCCTTTCTCCAAGACCCCGAGATTGGAAGGTGAAATTTGCACTTGGATTGCTCCTTGGTTCTCTTCCCCTTGTATGTTCTTTTGTTTCCTGCGATTTTTAATCGAGCCCAAACCAGTCCCTGTTACCTACGCCCTAATTTAGGGGGGGGCGTCGGTTTTTTTCTTTTGGTTTTTTTTTCCCCCATTTTTTTTTGTGTTGTCTCCTACCTGTGATTGCACATTGGCTCCAACTTGAGACCCCTGGTAATTCTCCCCATTCAGATTCTGCATATTCATGAATATGTCCCCAGAATTAGGAAGGTTAAAAGAAGCGGAAGTACCTGGAAAACGAAAGAGTTAGGCGGAGCTGAATCAACGAGAGGGCAGCAAAGAACGCGGGCAGGTAGACACCCCCTCCCTGGAGACTTCCGAAAGGCATGGAGGGGGGGGGGATGCAGAGGAAGGAGAGATGAGCAACCCCCCCCCAAACCCCTGGTTGGGTTGAAGAACTAGGACTTGCTCACGCTACGGAGGGCCATTGGGGCACTCCAGGATGGCATGGAGAAGGGAGAAGCAGGGGGCCCTGTTGTGGCCCATCGGCCACTGACCCCTCCAGCAGCCGAATCAGAGGAGGAAGAGGAGGGGTGGGAGTCAGGGTCAGCATCAAGGCAACCTGAGAGCTCTGAGGAGGAAGAGAAGGGGTGAGTTACTATGGGTTTGGCCAGTTCAGAGAACCTCCAAATCCCACCTGTGGCTGGCCCTGCCCTGCCCTCCCCTCCCAGGATCTCCACGTGGCCCATTTTGGATGTAAGTGCAGGGCTTGCGCGGAGGCTCAGGGAGGGGGGGAAACGGGCCTCCTGGAAGTTCCAGAAGGCTGGAAATGGGACTCCGGAGCCCGGGGGAAGCAGTTTCCGTCCTCCCAAAGGGCTCGAAGAAAGCATCCAGAGCCTGGGGAAGGTGAAAACGCCCTACCTGCCATGGTCACCATGGCCACGCCCACCCAGCAACTGAGCAGAGGACCCGTTGCTGGAATTTTTGAAGGCCACCCCTGGGGAAGAGGGAATGGAGCTGGCAGAGAGAGAGAGAGAGGGAGGGGGAAGGAGGGAGAGAGAGAGGCAGAGCCTGGACCGTCCGTCAGCTGTCGGAGAGTCAACAGTTCCCAAGTCTGGAGGTGGCCAACGAGGAAGAGGAAAAACAGCTGGGTTCAGTGCCTGACATGCAGATGAGCAAAAAGCAGAGGAGAGGAGAGCAGTGGAAATCTATGGGCCAGTCCTCGGGACGGAAGAGCCACCGCTGCTAGTGAATCTCCACTCTAACCGTGGATAAAAGGCCAGGGGCGGAGATGAATAGATGTCATCTCCTGGATGGATGGACTTGTGAGAGAGAAACGTTTTGTTGGAGCTGCAAATTAAAGTTGCCTAATTAAACTTAATTGAAGGAATCTTTTGAGTTCACCTGACCGGGCTGGTTGTGTTTGGGGAGCTGGGTCAGAATAGTCCCATTCTCTGGGGGCTCAAAATCCCGGAGACCGGGAGGGGAAAAATACTTTTGTTGTGGTGGTTGTTTTACTGGATTTGCTCTCAAGAGCATCCCATCCCAGCATCCTTCTGGCTGCAGGTGATAAGAGTTGCAGCCTGGCCATTTGTGAAGAAGGTCCATTGCAGGATTTGCACCTACGTTGGGCGAGCCCCTCGCCAATTCCTCAGCCCTCGGATGCTCCCGTCGATGAGGACATCCCTGGCTTGACTCTAAGTGGCCTATAGAGAAGGTGAGCCTCCCTTTCCTTCCCCTCCCTGCCTTCCGGATCTGTCTTCCTTTTTTTCTTCTCCCCCCACCCTCCCAAATGCCATTTCAAAAGAAGACTTACCAGAGTTTGGTGTGGTGGGCGAGCTGGTCTGGTTGTTTTGGACAGCAGCGGCTACGGCGTGAGCTGCCGTCACGGCTGTTTTGGCAGCGTAAAGGTTGGCTTCTTCTTGAAACTTCCCGATGTTTTTCTTGTACCTGATTCTCTTGTTGCCAAACCAGTTGGANAGGGCGGCTCACAACTCAAACCAGGGAAGGGGGATACCAACAAAAATTAAAACGGCACAAAACAATGCATAATTTAAAACACACAACAGTCATACAGCAGAGAAGGAGGGAGAGGGGGAGAAGAAGAAGAAGGGGGAAAGGAAAGGAAGAGGAGAAAAAGGAGGGAAGGAGGAGGAGAAGAGAAGGAGAGGAGAAGGAGAAGAGGAGGAGGAGAAGAAGAGGAGGAGGGGGAGCAGAAGAAGAGGGAGGGGTGAGAGAAGAGAAGGGGAGGGGGAGGAGAAGAAGGGAAGGAGGAAAGGAAAAGGAGAAAAAGAAGGGGAGGATGAGGAGAAGATAAGGAGAGGAGGAGGAGAAGAGGAGGAGGAGGAAGAGAAGAGGAGGAGGGGGGAGAAGAAGAAGGGAGGAGGAGCAGAAGAAGAAGAGAAGGGGGAGGGGGTAAGAGAAGAGGAGGAGGAGAGGTGGAAGAGGAGAAGGGGAAGAAGAAGGTGGAGATTGAGAGAATGAAAGAGGAGGGAGAAGAAGAGATCAAGGAAGAGAAAAAACGAAGGAAGAAGTGGCAGAGAAAGTGAAAAGGTGGGGGAGGGGCTCAGCAGAAGAAAAGCGGTATTTTCTATTAAAAACATCCATTTGTTTTCAAGTGTCCCTGTCTATTTTTAAGATCTGGACTTTACTATGGGTGTTTAACCCACCAGAAGCAATATTTTCTAACTACTATAACCCATTAGCCAACGTGCTCTCTGTACCACTTACACATGGTGGTTGAGATTTATGGATGTAGAAGTCCAGTCCTTGGAAGCTACCAGAAGAAAGATTAAACTCCAATTCTTGGAAGCAATGTAGGAATCAAGACTCTAGTTACTTATAACATAACAGAGGCCAGATGAAAAGAAATCTAATAAATAAGTAATAATCCCGCAACAAGGACTCTTGTTTTCCAAACTGCAAACCTCCACCGGACCACTAGAGGGCAATCTTTAGTAGAAAAAATCCTTGCTCTGTGCTGCCATCTATGGGTCCCATTCAGTTTTACAGTCCGGATATCACATATATAATCCAACCTTACTCTCATTGCAATCCACAATCTCAGCTGATACCACATCCTGAATTTAACCTCATATAACCAGACAGACAAGGACTGCATTCACACATCCTGCTCACCCAGAGGGCGTTGCTTATCGATCTTAATGAAACCTTGCCGTTTTCGTGCTGTGTGTGTGGTACCTTAAATGATGGTTTAGCCTTGTGTGTGTGAACCTGTTGGGTAATTTCTCTCCTTCAGAGGTTTCCAAAAAGTAAGTTATTAATAGAAACCCTTATTGTGATTTGAAGCTTCCCTGTTACATTATCATGTAATTTTTGTTTTTTTAAATATATTTTTTATTTTTTTAAAATGCCAATAATACAAACATGGACATATGCAGTACCATCTAAATACAAAAAAAANAAGGGAAAGAGAATATTGGGTTGAGTATGATTTCCCACAATGCACTCTGCAGCGGTATCTGACTCTAAGGGCTATTGCTATCCTCATGAACCTCTCTGAAGGTTTTCTGAAAGAGCCTTCAAAACAAGAGTTGAGAAAGGGCCATGAAACCCCATGGGAACATTTCTCCCTGGGGGAGAACACGAAGGCCGTTCTTATGAATCGCCCGCAGATCGGAAAGCGTTTGGCTTGGAAAGCCACTCCCTTGACCAGGCCATCAGATGGCTGCAAGCGAAACAAAGAGCATCCTCTGAGCATCTCTCATCGTCTTTAAGCAAGCAGGAAAACCCTTGCTACCATCCTCCTGGCCTCGGCTCTCCCTTAAATTAATGAAAACCCTCCAAGCTCCGAAGGCAATAAGCAAAGGTGCGTCCTTTGGCCCGCCAAATTCCCAGGACGACCCACTGAAGTATTACATATATTGCACTTAATATTACCTTGTCAGTCAGGAAGCAATAAAGCATTAATGAAAGCCGGCAAATAATTAGTACGGACAATCCAATTATGGCTTTTATTAACAGTTTCATAATTGCAGAATCTCTATACGTCAAGCAGATTGTCTGTGGATATATAAGAAAACCGGGGCATTTATGCACACCTCTGGACCAATCCAACAATGGCCACCACTAATAAAGGCTTGTTTAATTCACAGTAAAAAAAATTTAATATCCCCGCAGCCTAGGGAAGGCAGATTTGCCTGACATCAGAATTGTTTCCACCCTGCCAGTCCCCCCTAGTTCTTAATCTTTAATATCAAGGCAATTAAAATTAATGGCCACTCAGCCATAGCTACTGTGGGCAGTGTTGTCTTCCCCATCCATTGTTTGATGGGATTACCTAGAGGTTAAACTAACAAGCAAAGTTTAATTGGAAGCAATGAAAGGCGCAGTGGATCGTACATTATGTTTAACCTGCACAAGGCAGCGGAATATCAAAGTCAGGGCTGGCCTCCTCCCAGTTAAAAAAATAAAATAATATAAAATAAAATAATAGAGTAAAATAAAATGAAATCATCCACCGTTTTCAATCCCAGGGTCTCCTTCTAAGCAAGCCTCGTTCCCTCAACTAAACTCAGAAGGCAATTGACAAGAGTTGAGAATGGACACCTTCCTGCTGTTCAAAAGGGGGGAGGGAAATAACAACCCCACCCAGTGTGCAATTTAGGTGAGTCAAGGGTCATCAAAGCTAACTCCAGCCTATCATCTGTTCTTCTTCTGAACTGTCTCTGANATACTGTTTCAGACAAATGGCTATCCAACATCTTCTTAAAGACTTCCAGTGTTGGGGCATTCACAACTTCTGAAGGCAAGCTGTTCCACTGATTAATTGTTCTAACTGTCAGGAAATTTCTCCTCAGTTCTAAGTTGCTTCTCTCCTTGATTAGTTCCCCCCCATTGCTTCTTGTTCTACTCTCAGGTGCCTTGGAGAATAGTTTGGCTTTTTCCCAAGGCACCTGAGGGTAGCACAAGAAGCAATGGGTGGAAACGAATCAAGGAGAGAAGCAACTTAGAACTGAGAAGAAATTTCCTGACAGTTAGAACAATTAATCAGTGGAACAGCTTGCCTTCAGAAGTTGTGAATGCCCCAACACTGGAAGTCTTTAAGAAGATGTTGGATAGCCATTTGTCTGAAACAGTATAGGGTTTTCTGCCTTGGCAGGGGGTTGGACTAGAAGACCTCCAAGGTCCCTTCCAACTCTGCTATTGTGTTGTATTGTATTATAGTGTAATGTTATTTAGGACCTCTTACAGTAAAATATTTCCTTTTATTTGGATATTTTGGAACTCTCAATAGTTCTAATTTTCTAAATTCCTGTTAGATGTATGGCAGGTTTTGTTTTCAATTAAAATGAAATCTATAAATGTGGATGATTATGGTTTAATAAAAAGCATTTTAGCTGAACTTTTTATCACACAACGTATGTAATTTTCCCATTGAAAATTGGAATTCATAAATATAAGGTCCCATAACATTAATTAAAATGCTACTAAAGAAATCTTTCCTTTTATTACTAGAATTTTACCAGACAACAGAACAAATCAGTTAGGGAGAAAAATACATAAGATGCACAAGGAAATCTCAAGTATCATTCTCTGAGCATCTCAAGGGTTACTATGACAAATAAGATATCAGAATTGTATATTGTATATAAGACAGTAAATATTATTTGTGGAATGAAGCACAAATAACACACACAGCCCTTCATTTTGCCCTTGTTGGCAAGATTTGGTTTGAGTATTACTTGGCAATCATAACTATGTTTAGAACATGTACACAAATGACACATGATACAAATGATAGTTGGATGCATTATTCTGGACAGAGAAGCCTTTAAAGAAAGCTTCCAGAAACATCACTGAAGTTGGAGCATCTCAGTCACATCAGTACTTGCATTATCTTTGGACATATCCTGTATCCACTTAAAATATTAGTATGACAACTAACTCATGCTGCAAAATGAAACACATAGCTATGAATCATGTCAACTTAATACTGCTTTCCTGAAAGCCACTCTTTGATAACTGCAACAAATACAAAAAATAGTTACATCTGATTATACAGAATCAAAAATATACAAATGTCAATTTCAACAGTATTAATTGCTACACCATTTTGAATCTGGAGAATCAAAAATTCCATCACTTCTCATGACTCCTAAATGTAGGCTGTTTCCAGAAATTATCAAAAGGACAATTATATTACAAGGAAATTATTATGTGATCATGGTGATTTCTAGTGCCAAGCAAAGGCCACTTGACAGCACCAAGAAAAATAGCCAAAAGTTAGTTTCTTAATAAATTAATCATTGTGGTATTGAAACAGAAGTGTTCCAATGCAGAAATAAATACTGAGTGTTATATGTAATATATGCATGAATCAATGAAACAAATCGTGTGTCAAGAAACAAGTTTGAATGTATTGGTTCTATGCACAACTTTTGCCATGAAGAAAAAGAAAATGGACCTGAAATTTACAGTAGGGTTCTGATTTTGGGACTCTATCTTTAGGAATCATCCAGTGCTACTCATGGAACAGGCTCAACAACCTGTAAGTTCAGTGCTCCCAAATCATCTCTAGTAAATCCTACAACCAATCAATCACTAATTACAATCCCAGGGCCATGTGAACTTGTCATTTCACTATGGTTCATTTGTAAATAGACACCATCAGATATACTCTTATATCTGATTGAGCAAATAAGTAAAGCAAGAGAACATCAATGCTCAGAGTAATAGCAACAAAAAGCCAGCACTAAAATTTATTTACAAATTAAAGGTTCAGTGGATGACAGAGAACAAAACAACACCAGATGTTAAAATCACCCACTCTTTGACTCTTTTAGGAATATCAGAATAGACCTGAGAAAAGGTATGGGGAGGATAGGATCTAAGTTATATTCTGAAGACTATGTGTTGCTCCATGAATATTTAACTGCACTTGTCCCCCTGAATTAACTATTGAAGAATATTATAATATTGCTTCATTTTCTTAACAACATTCATTGACATCAGGATATGATAGTTTTCAACATTTAGGTTCCAAAGAGAACAACAACAGGAACAACAAACTACTGTGAAACACACTACTGGTTTTGGACTTTTGTTTATATACACTCCAAAAATGATGATCAAACCAAAGCAATTGTTTTCCTCACTAGCAGATTCCCTTATTATTGAAATATTCTAGTATCAATTAGCCACAGATTATAATCTATTACCTTTTCATGTTTACACATTCACATTTATTTAATCAGAAATACTGCTTTTCACATTTCTTTTGGTTTTTGGCTTATCATTAAGATAGCCACATTCATTCATCATGCTTGGGAGCAATCTAAAATACTACTTATAGGAAGATTGGAGCAGAGATAAATATGTAATTGAGAAATAAGGTTACTTGTAAATTTAAGATGGAGGTGGAGGGATGTACCAGAGAGCTTTAGTAGGCTTTAAAAGATCTTGAGCATTGATACATAGTTTTTTAAACAGGAAAAACATTTACCAAAATCTGTGAAGACCAAAGTTACCAAGGAGAATAAAATATGAAGAAGCAAACTGACAATTATAAATGAATTACAATTAGTTTAATTGGGCATTCTTTGCATTTAGCATTTTGGTAATTTACCAAAGGAACATTTTATTAAGTGGTCTTAAAATACAATAATGAATTGACATAAGGACCTTCCATATCACTGCTTTTGTACATTATTTTTTTCTTGAGGAAACATTTCAGATTATTATAAGGCATTTTGTTCCTGTCTACCAATTAAACTAATATGGGAAATCCAATTTCTTCAATGGAGAAAGGAATAGTGGTGCTGTTTCATTTTTTCTTTTATTTTACTAATGAGAAGAAAAACTAATTTGAGATGGCTGCTGTAGCTCTGATAGTCCTTGGAATGAAATTAAAGAGGCATCTCCCACAAAACGCACAGACACAAACACACACAGCCAGACACACACACACATTCAAAAATTATATAGACTATAGATGAAATACCATTCAATATACACACATTCCACTGTGAAAATCAATTACAGTTACATATGATGAATATCAGAGCCACATTTTCAAAAGTTTCTAATGTTTTATACTACAAGTACATGATAAAGATAGATGTGACAAATTCCAACTCTTGTTGTCATCTTTACATAGAGCTTAGAAAAAATCCAAACATATAACTACATATTACCATTTAGCTAATATAAAGTTGGTGCTGGGGCAAACAGCATTCGCCAGCAACAAATTTGTCCTATTTACATGTCTTTGTTTCCATTAATGGGTTGCAGAGTTAATGAAACCCAGGTGTGACAGCCCAATCAAATGTATTTTGTATTTTCTTTGTATATAAAATAACATTAGAAACAAATGAGAAGCTATCCCTTCCTGTTGCACATAAATTCAGTTTAATCTGGTTAATATCTATTATATCAGCCCCCTTTAACTATTCCATGAAAGTAAAAAGTGTCATTGCTTTGCATATATATTTTGCATTCATAGTGGTCTTCCTAGATTGCAACCAAATAATCCATCCTTCAGTGAATGAAAGGAACGGAGAATTGTAAAGCCTGGTGAATCAAATCAAAGCCGAATCTACTCCAGCTTTCTGTTCCAACCAGATGCCAGTGGAAAACCCACATGAGTTTATTCTCACTCATCTTTTTAGTTGATAGTTATAAATGTTCTGTCATTATTCCTTAGACACAGACACATAACCCACACACAAATACTATAGTAACCTTCAAGAGCCTTATCAACCTTATAATCCTTTTTCAAATCTATTCCTGTTGTCACCATTGTCACATATGGTTGTAAATCCGAAAGTCAACTCTTCACAGTGTGAATAGCATTTCTGAACAAGCATTTGCTTTGTTAGATGGCCATGTAGTTTAATCTTTCGAAAGAAAAAAAATATTCATGTCTTGTCTTCTATAATGTTCTTTTCTCCATGAATTTAATCTTTTCCCCCCTAAGCTAAAAAGCCAGCCACTTTTATCAAATGAGGGTTAATTTTACCTATTAATCTTTTTAATTTGTCCTTTTGTGCATTTTCACTATTTTACCGTATTGTAATCTGAACTACAAACAGTATTTTTACTATGATCCTATTGTAGATATTTTTAAACTGCTTGTGATTGTATTATCACTGACATATATAATAAAAGTGTTCTGGAGATACTCACTGTGTTTGGTTAACATTGGTTTTGGGGGTTGGGATATTTTTTTTCCTATTAAATCCCCCTTCCAATTTTATGACTTATTTTTTTGAACTATATAAATTAGAACTTTGTAGGAGTTGCTACCATTTTCCTACTAAGGTGCAGAGGTGCAGAGGCAATAAAAAAGTATTAAGGCAACAGAATCTCTATATGTTAACCTAAGGCATTGCTTCAGGCCCTGACTTAGTCCTGATATATTTTTCATTTGGTTCAGAATGGTGAGTCTCAGTAATTGGATTTGAAAGAAAAGCAATCTTTTGTAAACTAGTAATTGAAACTGATCACTTCTCACTTAATTCTTCTTATGTACAATTTTACAATTTGTGACAATATGACTTACAGTTCAGTCACATCTTTGGGGACCCCTTTTGGAAGGAACCTCAACCCTTTATTACTGCAGCGAACTACAGAGTCCACACAGGTGCATTGGTCGGGACAACGGGGAGAGAAATGACAGCTGTTTTCAGTGTTGCCTACAAAAAAAAGTGGACAAAGTACATGGAATTAATGTTAAATATAGATGGGATAAAATTGAGAAAGTTCATTTCTAACACAATAGCTTCCGTCATATAAATCTAGTACAACCACTATCTGCAAATCATCATTATCAGGCTACATTATTCGATTTCACTTTTTAGTAATTGGTTTGACTTCATATATGATATTCGTAGCTTGTCCTTTGTTTTAGACCATTTTAATTCCAGTGTCAGTACTGATAATATGTATTTAGTTATAAACATTTTAATTTGGAGTAAATGTAGATGGTTTGTCTGTGTGCTTATTGTTTTCAGGTCAAAAAGATTTTTTTTTCTTTTGTTCAATTGTGTCTGATTCTCAGAGACTAAAGGCAGGACTAGAACTCACAGTTTCTTGGTTTCTAGCTTGTTCCCTTAATTACTACAACAAACTGGCTCTCTATATGAAAATACAATTAACTAAATTTTCCAACCATAAGAACTCTGCTTCATAAACCAGCATAAACCCTTTGTATTGCTATTTTATTTATATTATTTCTAAGGATGATTGATTTACCTCATAAGGTAAATCAGCAGTTAGCTTTCCACAAGCCTCCCAAAATTGCATCCACTGAATTCCTCTAAATTTTGTATTTAAAGAAAACCACAATATTTTTAAATTAAATCTTTAAAATCTTTAAAAATAAAATCTTTTGTGTTTCTGCATGAGATCAATTTTGGATTTGGGTCATTTTAATTTTGAATATTTACTTACTTGCATTCATGAAAGCATAGGCACAAATGCTGTCATCCTACAACTGACAGCAAAATACTATAATTGACTATGTTGGGAAAAAAATACTGTATTTAAGCTGACCAAAGACAAAATGCATTTATGATGGATCATTACTTGCTGCTGTAATTTACTGACTAATGTACAGATCTGAATTATTTTAAAACATTTGCCCTGTTTATCCTTTAAAAAAAATCTCTGAAAAAAATCCATCTGTTTCCTGACATGGTGAACAATTTATTCAACACGCCAGAGTTTCAATATTAATACAATGCATTCCTTAATTTTTTAAATCATGAGTCTTGTTGTTTTTAACAAGCATAATGAGCATCAAGCAACAAGATCAGCTATGCTTTCACCAAGAACTGGAGATCCACGTGAATGTGCATAAAAATACCTAATAGCTGAAACATGGGTGTTCATTTGTACAAACCAGATTTTATAAAACAAATTAAACCTCACAGTTGGAGAGCAAGAGAGTTCCTGCTATGAAAGTAAGCCTTTCAGTTAAGACTATTAAGTCATGGCTTTCTTCCAAAATTAGCATGTGGGTTCACAAAGCACTAGATACAGGCAAATGCTGGTATCTGAACATGCCTAGAAATTTTTTGCAGAATAATCTTTAAATGCAGTCAATTAAAAAAAAACCTTAATGTTTCACAATCTAGAGAATTATCTACCTGTCATTTGGTGCTTATTCTCAAAATCATTTTCATTGTTTCAACTGAACAGAACTGGCAATGTTATAAGGTCATTGGCTTCAGTTTTGAGCAATGACTTCAATGCTTGACTGGGTCTAATAAAATGAACAGACTATTGTCCTTTATTATGCCATTAGAACAGTAATTAAAATAAACAATGGCCAAATAATACTGCAGAAACAAAGTCTGTGTTTTGTACTCTTATGTGCAGGAGTTTGGAATGTTGATTCCAATTTTTTTTTTCATTTCAAAAATGTTAAGGTTTTTCATTAGAAGATGAAGCTAGATTAACTCTCACTTCGTGACCAAGCTGGAAGGCTACAGGCATGATGAAATCTGTACAAAAGTACAGTAAGCAAGAGAAAAAGAATTAGTATAGGTTCTAACTAAACTATGTCAGAAAATGTAAAGAACAATGCAACATCCAACAGATTGGAAGAGATTGTCCTAATACCAATTCCAAAGAAAGGTTTAAAATAATGTGAATACTACTGTACAAAAACATTAATATCAAAATAATGTTTAGGCTAATCCAATGTAAATTAGAATCCCTACATAGAAAGATACTAGTAAAAGAAGCTGAAGAACAAGAGATATTATTGGCTGTGCACACTGGATGTATGAAAAAAGAGCACCAAAATGAGTAAGATAAATTGATATAATCAGTGATTATACAAAGACCTCCAATTGTGTCAATCATGTCAACATTAATCAATTTTGAGCACATGTATTTAAAACCTACAGTAGCTCTTTAGTAAAGTCTAAATTTCTGGGAAATATATAAAGAAAAAGAGATGAATAATGAAGTGGGTAGATTCAATTATAGCAATAAGGGATGCAATACTGGAAGACCTAAAAAGCCCTATTTGGGGAAAGGTCATACTAGAAAAGATTTCTCAATATTGTCGCTTAGAGTATCTTGAAGGGACAAATCAATTAATCATTCTGGCTATTCCCCAAGAATGAGATTTGAATGCAAGCCAATGATTAATATAATTCCCCAAATTCTTAGTGTTTCTGATAATGTCAAGTAGAGAACTCACTTAAATCCCCGCTTCCTACTATACTTTCCTGAGGATAAGCAAAGGAGAACCTTGCTGGGACCTAGAGGAGAAAACAATTTATTTTAACCTTTATGTGGAGAAAAGCTTCATCTCTGAATATATTCATTCATATTTGGCTGAAATATCATACTTATACTACTGAAAAATCCAATATGATCTCATTATCATGTTCTAGAAATGTGCTTACCATCACATGTGAAATCCTGTGTAGCAACATCTTGAATTGGAATCTCCTTTAAGAAGAAAGGTTTCTGGCAACGTGGATTTCCACTGACAATCCTTCTCTTCCTTAACCATTTCCCCAACCATGCTAAGTGGCAGTTGCAGTTAAATGGATTAGATAGCAAATTACTAGATGAAAAATGAGGAAAAAATGCAGTCAGCTATTGAAGAAATCAAGACATAGATTTTTCAAAAGCTAATTGACATTCAAGTAGGAAACTTCTGGTAATAAATTAATTTTACAATGGTAGCTGCATGCCTAACAGGGTTTTTTGTTTTGTCAAAAACAAGAGATAAAAAATATGTGCTTGGCTAACAAATTCTGTTATCATTAGGTTTCTTATCATGTATTAGGTCAATCTGTAATATATTTTAATATGGAAATAGTTAGCTGTTGCTAAATAATCCTGTAAACAGAAGCTCTTGCTTTATGTTTCTGCTTCTGCATCATATGAAGACAGTCTGAGCAGTTTCAGAAGCTCCAAAGAATACAAGTTAATCTGATATGTGAATGTTAATGCCATATCTTTTTTTAACCATTTTATTTTTCAATAACCACAAGTGTCTCTTTATGACAAGCAACAATAGTCCAGAGTGGATTAGAAATCGATGCCCTTCAGGTGTTGCTAAATTACAATTTTGAACTGTCACAAGAACAGGATCAATGGAGAGGAATGCTGATAGCTGTAATTCAGCAACATCAGGAAAGTCATAGATTCCTTACTTCTAGTTCAGTCTTATAAATTACCCAACCAGCTTTTTGGAAGGAAGGAAGAAGGAAGGAAGGAAGGAAGGAAGGAAGGAAGGAAGGAAGAAAGAAAGGAAGAAAGGAAGAAAGGAAGAAAGGAAGGGCTGCTAGTAACATTTTTAAAATAATGTGCAGTTCAGTTTGGTTTTTTGGAAATGCATACAGTTTCTGAAATATGAACTAAAAGGAGCTGAGGCATATAACATGATATATTTTAGTCAATTTGTTCCATAGCCTCAAACAGATAACTTCAGTTAAAATAATAGCTTAAGATGAGTTGGGAATTTGGGCTGCATATAAATAAATAGTTATTGAAATTTATTGATATTAAGGCAAAGCTAAACCTGTTTTCAGAGCAAAATTATTGATGTTTGTGCTACTGGAATACCTAATAGCCAATATGATTTAAAGGAACAGAGAATAATGCATTTTATTGTGCAAAACTCAAAGATGTAGCATGACTGAAAAATATCTTGCTGTATCTAAGCATGTAGATCAAATGTTTCTCTCATAATAGTCATGGAAATATCACGGGAAGTAAAGAAATGAAGTTTTCTGAAAAGTAGCTAATTAATTGTAATTATGTTTGAGGGGAAAGGAAACCTCTCCCTCCCAAAACAGAGGTTAACTATTACAATCCAGCTGGGATGTCAAGTCCTTGGTATAAATGACATTTATATCTGTGATTAAATTTGAAAAAAGAAACCTAACATTATTCATGTCCACACTACAATTTTCAGTGACTCTTCATATGTATGGTATAAAGCACACACACACATTTGCATATGGTTTGACATGAACAAAATGTCATGGAGATCTCAAAACCAAACCATCCCTATCCATTTTATTCTAACCAAACCAGGAAAAAAAGATTAAAGGTGTACATTTTGCCTTCTGCAATTGTCATTGTTGGGATTGTAATTACATAGCTATTTTTAATGATTGTGGCACAGGATACAAGGTCTGTCTAAAACCCAAATGAAAGGAGTAAGTTAAAGTCTAGAAGGGCAGGGAAAATAAATACAGGTTTTGCCAAGTTAAAAATTGGAAAGAAATGTGAGAATACTTAAGTGGCAATTAAAGTAAAGAATGATAAGGCATACAAATAGAACACTTCAAAGACTCTTAATACACACAGAAAAAGTAAATGAGAACAAAAGCCATTGGATCTGTGGTAGAGAGATTAGTAAAAGGCCTGAAGGATCTGAGTCATGAAATTAAAATTCAAATGATGCTTGTAATGGAACATTTATACTATTGCTGTGAGCCAGGAAAACTGATTTGTCCCATAAAACAATTTGGCTCAATCTATCAAGGATCAGGCCTCAGTGAATATCCCTTTTTTCAGCCACACCAAGGACCAAATGCAAAGCTCTTACAATAGGCTACAATACACTAGCCACTAGTATAAGCACCTGCTGGATTGTAACAGTAATTACAATTATATTTGTTAGGAGAAAGCATGGTGATGATCATAGGTTACTTGAGGGACCATTTCACCCCACTGGGTGCCAGCACTTGTGCCAGCAGAGGAGGCATGCTACAGGACCCGTCAATTGTCATCCTGATTATTCCAGCTGGTGGGGTTCAGGAGTAGGGCCTTCTCTGTTGTTTCTCCTGCCCTCTGGAACATCTTGTTATCTGATGTGAGGTTTGCCCCAACCTTCCTATTTTTCCTTAGGGGTCTAAAGATGTGGCTGTGCCAGTTGGCTTGGAGCCCCAGTGGGGGAACAGCACAATGGATGTGGTTGATTGAGTAATAATGATCCCACCTCCTCCACTTTTCCATGTGTCCTTGGTTTTAATATATTTTTATGTTTTAACTATATATGTAACTATGAGTGCCCCCCCCCCGAGCTATCCTATAGTAAGATGGGAAGTCAAATAAAATAATAAACCAAACCAAACAAACCAGAACAAAATAAAACAAATACACTGTTGGATATATTTGAAAAAGAAACCTTCACAAATAGAAATGAGGGCATTTGTTCATACTTTATAAACCAGGATCCTTAATCTTAATTCCAAGAGACTATCCACCCCCCAAATGCAACAGCTGTAATAATTAATAATACCTGAACTATGAAGCCTTCACCATCTCATCCAGTTTAAACATTGCCTCTTTTAGGATACCTTTTAAAACATTTTTTTTCAAATGTCCCAAAGGTGCTTTTTCACCTTTGACCTGGATTACTGAGAATCTCCATTGACAGAGTTTTTCAAACTTGACAACTTTAAGATGTCTGGACTTCAATTCCCAGAATTCATGCTGGCTAGGGATTTCTGAGAGTTGAAGGCCACACATCTCAAAGTTGCCAAGTGTGAGAAACACTGCTTCTCACAGTGCTTTAAAGATCTCTTCTCCGTATAGGCCTCGTAGCTGCAACACGAGAACAAGAATACTAATTACCAGTTAAAATCTCCCTTTACTTTGAAAATTATTAAGGTGACATGCATGAAGCTCTGGAATGTTCTCCAGGATCATTCCATTTTTTTGGGAAGGGGAGGTTTCACATAATTAAGTGAAAGCAGTGACAAAGTAAATGCAAGATCTTAAGTGACAACAGATGACTTACATTGTAGATAAAGAAACAAGAGTATTGAAGGCTCCTGGAGTTATTGTAGTAATGCGATTGTCATACAGAGAGAGTAACCTTACTGAGCTCAGTCCTGTAAATGTGTCATTGTTTACACAATTGATCATGTTGCTCCTGAGCATCCTGAAAAGATTCAAACATAAAAATAGACTTACTGAATTGATGTTGGATAGGGAGCAGGGAAAGACACACAAAGGGAATTATTATTATTATTTTTAAACAACGCAATCAAAAGAAGCATGGGCTGCTTAAGAATTGGCCAGTGTATCCAGAGCTCCTAGAAAAAGTAAAATAAGTTGAGTTGGTTGACATGTAAATGTGCAGGGGACTTCTACTTTCACTCAAATATAAAGTAGGATTCAGGAATAATTAAATTGAGAGTAATCAATACATGAACCCTTCCATTAAGTTTCTCTCAACCTATCCTACATAGTTTAATGAGTCTGCAGAAGAAAATATTTCATGTGCACTATTGCATATGAATTCTGATTGGAACTGTAAGTTCCCATTTTCTCTCTGTGAAGAGATGATCATCAAGGGATTGAAAACAACAAAAGTTGTCTACCTAGAATCCAGCTCACATATTAAAAATAAAAAAAAAATCCTTTCTTAGTGATTTTCTTAATAGCAATATGGAAGTGATCATCCACTGCTGTCTTGTGGAATGTATGTTCACTTCCCAATCTATCCTACAGTCCTGTGATTTCTGGTGATCTCTTTTCCAAGTAAATAGAACTAAGTCTGATTTGCTTTCCAACATCAGCAAGTTTAGCTAGTCGCTCCCAATTCATATATGAACATGAATTATTCTTAATATACAATCTTCATGTTAATGATATGCTTTATGTTTGGTTTTGTTGTTTTTTACTTTATTTTTTCTCCCTGTTTTTGTTGGCTACTGAAAATCACAGTGTCTGATGAGCAATCAGTTAATTAATCAATCCAAGCTAATTTATATTGAATGCATTGAGCAATTGATCCAGAGCTTTAAAAAATACTTTTGAAGAAAAGGACACTCTGGAAACAAATAGAGGTAGTTTCATTTTTGCTAATAGGTGATATCCAAGACTGTCAGAAATTCATCCTAGGAAATAATTACAACAGCTTTAATAACCCATTCAACTGATTTGGGGAAATTGATGATATGTAATAATGTCATCTCTATTCCCAATCATTTTTCTGACATCACGTCTATTGTTCTACATTCACAACAGGCTTTTGTCTCCTCCACATCTAAAAGAGCAAACAGACTTTATACATACAGCATCTTGAGTCCTGTGAGACCTCTAAACATTCGTCCGTGCACAGATTCCAGCTGATTCCCTGTCAACATCAGTTCCTGCACTCCTGCTGCCCCATCAAAAGTGCCTTCACGGATCTCTTTGATCTTGTTATTACTTAAATTTCTGTAAGAGGAAACAGATTCACAGGCAGCATTATTGAACACATGTTTTGTGTAAGATAAATGCAAGCATGTTTGCACTGGCAACAAAGGGGTGAACAATAGCTGAAACAAAGCTAAAAGAATGGAATCAATTTAATTCCCAGGACTATGCTGAAATCTGAATTGCAATATTTCACTTTCCTTCCAACAGTAAAGAGGCTTCTGTGATCTAGTTCTTCTTTCTCAGGGAAGTTTTTATTTTTATTTTGAGGATTTCTTTCCAATTTCTCTTGGTGGTATTTTTGAACCTCTTTTCCTGATTGAATAGCTACTGAATTTCTGCTAGGGTTAGTTATACACTTTTCTATCATTCTGCAGTTTCATGTCTGCCAACACTTCTTAATCTGAAAAGCCCCATGGGGTGAAGTGTCTTTATAAGGTCTTCTGTATGATTTAATTGAAGGGTAGAAAACAAAGCAAGGCCACACTTTGTTGAAGAAAATACTGTAGAAGGAACAAGATGAGACATTTGGGTTGTTTAGACAGCATATTACTTCCACACATTTTGTTTGTAAGAAGGTTATATTCTACTTAAGAGAATTTCTCTGAATTTTTTTCTTTGAAAAGTACATGCTCGCTCATAAAATTGGAAAAGAATTGGTAAACCAGGAGAAAAAAAACACTGCTGCTAAAACCAAAAAGTTGTTTGCTTTTTGGTATGGCAGTCGTATTTTCTGCTTCAAAATTGTTATTCATGTTGAATTCATGCCACACTTCTGAATACTTCATTTTTAAAAGAATAATAATCACATTACTGCCCATTCTTCCAGTGATTTCTAGCATATCACTTTCAGAACAAATGCAACATGTGGCATCACTGTGCCAGCAAAGCATCCAACCTGTTCTCATTTAAATTTCTTTAGGACATCTGCTTTTATTTTAAAATGCTATATATTTGTACCAGGAAACCAGAAATTTGATTGCAGATAGGAAACCCATAAAATCCATTAACATTTTAAACCCTAATTTTATCTGCTATTCTGTAAATGATATTTAGGATCCTTGTATTATATTTGTTTCATTTTTTGCATTCCCAGAACATTCTATTCCATTTAATAGGCTTCAAAGAAATTAGTTTGCATTACTTCATTTATCAATTACTTCGTTTATGAAGTAATTCTACTCAAGAGGACATTATGTTATCATGATTAAAGGAGAGATTTACCCTGTTTAAAGATGAGCAGGCTACATCACTTACTGTGCTAATAGTTACGGACAACTAATTTATATTATTGTTTATATTTAAATCCAATGGTGTTTTTAATTTTTTTTGTTATATTGTAGACATTATGACTACCAATGCAGAAGACTCAATGGGCTAGAAATTTGATGAATTAAATAAATACATTTTCATAGCAATATTTTAAAACATTATTATTATTTTACAGTTAAAACAATGCACTAGAACTGGGGTGTCAAACTCAAAGCCCGTGGGGTGTTTAGATCTGGCCCCTGAGGCTGCCCTGGAAACAGTGGCCATGTGGAAGAACTGGCCCACAGTGCCTGTGCCAGCAAACATGGAGCTTGAGAGGGTCGCGTCGCAGAGGGTTGCAGGAGGCTGTCACAGACAGAAATGGAACTTGGGAGCCCGTTTTCATTGGCAGAGCACTTGGACCACCACAGGAGTTTACCCTAGCCCCCCCGAGGTCAAACACAATCCTGATGCAGACCTCAATTAAATTGAGTTGGACAGCCCTGCACTGTTCATTGTAATACAGGTAGTTCTTGACTTACAACCACAATTGAGCCCAAAATTTCCATTGCTAAGTGAGACATTTGTTAAGTACATTTCAGCCCATTTTATGACTTTTCTTGCCACGGTTGTTAAGTGAATCACTACAGTTCTTAAGTTAGTAACTCAACTGTTAAGTGAATCTGGCTTCTCCATTGACTTTGCTTGTCATAAGATTGCAAAAGATGATCGCATGACCCCAGGATAGTGCAACCGTCATACATGTCAGTCACTTGTCAAGCATCCGAATATAAATCACATGACCATGGGGATGCTATGCTACAACGGTCATAAGTGTGTGAAAAATGGTCATAGCTCACTTTTTTCACTGCTGTTGTAACTTTGAATAGACACGAAGCAAACTGTTGTAAATAGGGGACTACCTATAGTCAGCACTGGGCAAAACTAATTTGGAAGACTGAGGTGAGACTTGTATGAGGAACTGGTAATCTATTTTATGTTTTCTGAACAGCTGAGGCAGCCTGACTGTATAGCTTGTGACCCATCACCTTTCTTGTTGTCTGAATGGAATACAATAAAGCAGCAGTAACAATAAAGCACAAAACCACCCATAATCATGTGAGCTCTTTTAAAATGACTTCATGATTTTCATTGGTAACTATATCAGATTTGCCTTTATGTTTAATGTCAGCAACAGCTTAGGAAAAAATCATCTGATACTGAACTATTATCCAATGAACAATGAACATAAGCATCTCTTTCTGAATCCTAAGAATATGAGAGTTGCTTTTACAATTAAGGTTACTAACCCAAAGGTTATGTTTGTCTTAGCCTTTTGAAAATACGAACAGGTTCTCTGAATCACTTTCAGAGAAAGAGATGTATGCAAGTATATAGTGTGAATTGTCACATTTACCTTAAAGGAAGATGATTCTGAATTTAAAACAACCAGTCACTACATGCAAAGCAAAATGTAGACAGTAAACACACACACAGATACACACACACACACACACACACACACACACGCTAATCAGCTTCTATTACTAAGAGAGAAAAAGTCTTCCTTTCAGATTAAATGTAACCTGGGAAATCTATTGAATGTCTACCTTAAAAATTACATCAAAATTCTTGCAACTTTGCCTCTGCAGACTACAAGGTCATTTTCTGCAAAGCTGCAAAATAAGCTGCAAAATTTATTTGCCTCTAAAAACAAACAAGAAAACAAACAACAGTTCCCAACCCCTCCTGACTTTATAACCACCTGGATTGAAAACAATCTCTCATTAGTAGACTAATCCATTTTTGTGAAGTTTTCCTTGGAAACCTTTAATCTCCTGTCTGCCAATACACTCCCCTTCAAATGCCATTCTGTGCATTCTGTGTACTCATCTGAGGGACATTTGCAATGTTTTACCCAAGAACATATGCAAACAGAAGAACA